AAAAAGACTTTTTTGCTGATATAAGGTTTTAAAACTTGGTTAGATGGACAGTTTTTACAGTTTTTTGCTGATATAAGGTTTTAAAACTTGGTTAGGTGGACAGTTTTTGCTGTGAGCTCCAGCTCGATGTGGTACTAGCTGAGATCCATGTACAACAAATATTCCAAGTATTAAATGCGAGATCAGTTTTCTTTATTGTTGAACAGTTAATTCATATCTTTTCCACACATTTCCAGTGTTCATCTGCAGTTTCTTACTTCTGGCTCCTCTCTTTGGTTACCTCGGGGACCGCTACAACCGTAAATACATCATGGTCGGGGGTCTGAGTGTGTGGCTTCTGACTGCAGCTGGCAGCTCGTTTGTCAGCRAGTCGGTAAGTGAGGAACACACGGGCTGAAATGACTTCACAGCCTGAGAAACAAGAACAGGCTCAGAGGCTGAGGCTGGCACTTCCTGTTCGCTTTTCCTGTTTTCCTTCCTCTGACAACCAGCTTCATCAGAAATACATCTTTTTTCTTACAGGTGCATCTCAAACAATAGTTTAAAAGTTCTGTTTTGTTTTTATCTGTTCAGAATTACAAATAATAAAACAGAAGATCTTACAGTGTCTTATAAAATAACATTGCATAGCTAATTTTTGATACTTTGACAGTGTGGACATACAGTTCATATTTCTTTTTTTACTTTATAAAATAATTTTTGGGAGGTGGGGTTTTGGTCAATAGACCCCTGTGGTGTGGTCTAAGCTTTCTTTATTTTTTATTTATATATATATATATTTACATTACTTTAAGGTTTACTGTATATTTGAAGTAGTATTAAACCAATAGTTTTACACTTGATACTTCTACTTCCTAAAAAGTATTTAAACCCAATTCTAGGGTAATGAATATATGAATGTGAATACTTTTTTTTATTATATATTATGTTTTAACGATGTAAAAACAAGTGTGCATTGCCATGTAGCATGGCTTTGCCTGCAACAGTGGACTTGCAGAATGAACTTTGACCAAGTTCAAATGTGTTTTCTATACCAGCTTGTACCTGTCACGTCAGCAGGTGTTTGTAAGTAAGGTAATTGTGTGACAATATGAAATTTGAAGAGATTTTTGTTAAAGTTGCATTAGTTGGGTTTGAACCCTGATCTCCCACATGAAAGTCCATGACATAGACCATTAAACCAATGGCGTTGTGGCAGAAAGTGGTGGCAGGGGTTGGTTTGTATGTGTGCAGAAAGAGGCCACATTGCCAATACAATTATTGACACTAAACTGCATAATATTACAACAATAGAGCAGTATTAAGACATTGATATTGTAAAACATCAAAATACAATTATATTAGTATTGCAAAAAACTGAACTATTGAGATTAATTATAAAAAACTATGGTGCAGTACCATATTGTGTAGATGCAGCAGGGGGCAGTATTGGACCAATACAAGGCTCCATTGACTGTCATTATAATTTATTAAACATTAATATTTCAAAAACCATAAGTTTTACAGGCACCAAAAGGCATAGCCATCATTTGGCACAGGACCTTTACAGATATAAATTACAATGGCAGCTCTAGGACAAAGTATGCAGGAGGAGAAGCATGSCAAAGTTGAGATGACTTGGATGGGAAACGAATCACAATAGTGTGCATTGCATTGGTAATGCACACTGATAAGATGTGCGTACTCAGTGAGTTTAAGTTGGTCTAACAATAAATGCGATCATTTATTATTTACCAATCAAATAAATCACTAATGTACAGCTTATTGTGGACAATCAAATTTCCTATAAAAAGTTAAACAACAAACCTTTAGGTTTAGATGTTAATAAACTAATTGTGGCACTTTTCTTAAGTTTTTTCAGGGCAGGTTTAAGAGGAAATAAAGGAGGAAGAGGATTAGTTAGTTTGAACTTTAAACTTTAAATAATGTGGATTTTAACCAGAAAAAGCACACGTCTCCCAACAAATTCAGCCCAACTTCAGGCACGCAACAAACAGCCATTACCTTGACCGGGGATGGTTTCACCACCATGGCTCAAATCTGAGGAAAGATCGTCCAATTAGTGAAGAACTTCTCTGAACCTCATCCAGTCGGACACTTTCCAGGCGTGTTTACGTTCCTCCTTCAGCATCTTCTGGGCTGCTTTCAGTCGAAGACCAAACATGAAGCTGTTCTAGGTATCCGTCTCAAAAATAGAAAAATTCCACCCTGGAAGTTTCAAAACAAAAGTTTCTCTGTGAACTGGTAAGCTTAAAATAATAGACGAGACCAAGTGATGGTCTGTCTAGGCCAGGGGTCTGCAACCTGAGGCTCTGGGGCCACACGTGGCTCTTTAGTCCCTCTGTAGTGGCTCTTTGAAAATGTGACCAAATATAACAGAATATTTTTTTGGTTTATATTCACAACAGAAATAAACTGTACGCAAATATTTGATGAATACTACAAATACAAAAAAAGTAAAACCTGTTGTTTAGATAATGCTAGCCTGTTTTCTACCTAAATAATCCAACTTCTTTCCCTGATCTTTCTCTCAGATCAATCAGGGTTATCTTTAAACACCTTTAAGACTACACAATAATAAGAATTTGAAAATAAAATGTCTGAATAGTTCAGTTGTACTAGTTTTTATCAAATTAAGTATAAACTATGTATAGTATTTTTCATGTCCGTGAATGCTTCTTTCTTTTGTCCTGAAGTGTAAATATA